TGACGTCATTGTTTTTATTTGATAGCACTGCCATTCAATATTGCCTGTTCTATGAAAGGAACAAAAAAATACGATACACGTATTAAATTATAACTAAATGTTGAATAGTAATACATGAATGTTATTATCATTGAGTTGCGACTATCCCTGATAACCAAAACAACCATTAAAAGCAAAGAATACTAACTATTGGTTTTCATTTTCAATTATATCACTGACATTGTATAAGTTGAAAACACCAATGTTTGCCTGAAATGAAGGGAACGAAGCTATGATATAAAATATACTGACATATAATGGCATATGAAGGTCGATATTTTTTATTATGCTCATTAGATTGCATTGTTGTTATGTTGCTTCCTGATTTCTCCATATGATGACGTGACATTAATTGGCTTGGACTTGATTTACACGGTGGATGTCATCAATAAACCTGGTCTTATTTTCCTTGTATTTCCCCTAGAGTCTCTATGTAAATATTCCCTTTGTTCATAGTTTGCCCAAGTTTTATCGATTTTGAGCTCGAGTTATGGATGAGTTGACAGTTCCGTATTCTCTTCTTGATTTTTTGTGTGGAGTTGGTTTTTTTTCTCAATCTGATCTAATTTTTACTTTAACCTTTTTTAATTGTTAAAATAAAATGACAAATGATCTTTTCAGACCACATGAGACGCATGGCCAAAATTTATAACTGAATTGAACTCACTACTTTCTTTTCACTGATTATCGGTATATTCAATTCAAAACAGTTTGGTGCCAGTTTTACGTGACAAAGATAACATTGTTATTGTTTGTCTACCATTAATGTTAGTGTAAGACTTTGGGGAGATAATAGAGTATTAAGCTGGGTTTATCATGAAGGAAGTTTCTTAATAGAAACAAGTATATAAAGGACAATGTTTAGGTGAAAATACCTAATACCTGTACCTGACGACAGAAAGTACTTGTTTACTTCGCGGAAGTTCGCATCCTCTCATGAGTTACGCGCCTTCATGGGTGTATTCGTCCGCAAAATTAATTCTTCAGATACAGGCATATGAGTGGTATTGTTTATTTAAAAAAAAAGGATTCATTATTACTAAACACGTTGGGACAAAACAAATTATCGTTTAATTATTGCCATTTTATATTTTATGGTCGCACACGCTCCTGTAAATGATGAATCAACAAATAGTATTGATATGTGTTTTGAAATGCAAAGAATAAATCTCAAATGTATGAAAGATTATGAAAACAATAATGATGATGCATCTGTTAGACTTAAAAGGAAGTATTCAAAATTAGTAAGCCAATCAATGCGTCAGCAATACGGTAATCATCTGTGTAACAATTTCATGTTAAGTTGATAGCCGCCTCGCTCCACTATAGTCAGTAGTTTTCGGTCTCGGAGTTAGAAGAAAAGGGTCACATACAGTACTGTCGAACGAGTTTCTTAGACATACTTTGCTTTATTCATTGTTTTTTTCAAAATTGAAACATTCCCCAACGGTATAGCAGCATACTCTAAATGGCTGTTAGCATTGTAATGCAAAATATAAACATCGCTAATTTGGTCTCAGGTGAAAAACTGCAAATTTTTGTACCCGCAAAAGGGTCATTACCTGTATCTTTTACCTTAACGATCAGACTCAAATTGATGCTTTGATGTTGGAGCCAATATTTACAGTGTACCTGATGTCGGGTCATAAACCGGAGGGAGACATATCACTTCCCTACAAAGATATTATTCCATCTGTTTTTTGTCAGATTTATGTGATGTCCTCCCTTTTCATGATCAACTGATCCATATAATTGTTCACCTATTAAACCATCAATGTACCACCTGCTACACGATCCAACACGTATATCTGGACAAGTGCCAGATGCTTACGTGACTCACAAATATAAACAAAATTGCATTATTAGCAAGTTGGCAGTGTCAAAACATAACGTTTTCGTATCTGCCAGTCTGTTAAGATCATAATTTTTTTATATGTGTTTAGGAAATATGCGCGGTTAAGATTTCATAACTCAGAAATAAAATAAAATTTAAATACGTTTTACATGGAATGGCAATAATAGAATGCCAAATACAGTGTTTCTAGTATATGGCCAGAAGCCAACATTGTCTGGGCTAATCTTGGAATACTTTATAGGGAGGCTTTTCTAGGTCAACGGTATACCTGTCGGTCGACACCGAAAATCCAATTTACCAGCCAGTAGTAATTAAATTTTCTATTTTTGAATAAAAAAAATAAAACCATCTGCTGCAGCGTTTCACTGTCGAAGTACTACATCCCCTGATCACGCACGAAAGTTACATAATACAAATCAATAGCAGGACAAGAGAATTCTACAGAGTCAGATAAATCTAAAATGTAAAGCAAACACAATACATTCACGTCTTTATTCCGATTAACAACATTATTTATTTGTTGTTCAAATAAAAATGTCATTGAATGATTTGTCGTTTTAAGTAGGTTGCCGTGAAAACAGGAATGAATTATTTATATTTTTTTGTTTTGGTGTTCCCTCCAATCCTGTGAATTTTGGATCTTTTTCGGATGAGCTTTGGGATCTGACTTGGACATTAAATATTATAATGAATATTTTATATCCTTACGGCAATAAAGAGTTATTTTAAATCATTCTATTAAGAAATAATGTTTTTTTTGTGTTTTTTTAACGAATCATAAGTGTAATACAATGACAGGTGACCAAACAATACATATATAATGAGTCAATTAACGGGATAGAGAATGCAAACAATACATATATAATGAGTCAATTAACGAGGATAGAGAATGCAAGCAATACATGTTTAATGAGTCAATAACGGGGATAGAGAATTCAAACAATACATATACAATGAGTCAATAACGGGGTTAGAGAATGCAAACAATACATATTTAATGAGTCAATTAACGGGGATAGAGAATGCAAACAATACATATAAATTGAGTCAATTAACGGGGATAGAGAATGCAAACAATACATATATAATGAGTCAATTAACGGAATAGAGAATGCAAACAATGCATGGGTAATGAGTCAATAACGGGGATGGAGAATGCAAACAATACATATGCAATGAGTCAATTAACGGGGATAAGGAATGCAAACAATAACAAGAACGACCTTTTATGATAATGCGCAATCAGCGAGCAAGGACCAATATCTTCTGTATAGTGAAAAAGTATCGTTATAAGTACAATTCGCTGCATTACTTAAGTATGTGTTAAGTATAGCATCCGATGTTGCGGAGCTGTCATTAAGGTTACAGTAGCTCCCTGTTAAAATGTTTGGTGTGAAAGAACTGTATGGCAACATAGAAACAAATTACCACAGCATCAAAAGTGAATTTAATAGAAAAAAGTAGCAAGGCAAAAATATTCGCAATACAATTTTTTTTCCAAGAGGGTAAGCTTTCTCTGTGCCCTATGTGGCACGTCTGGAACAAATAGATCATCATCAAAGTTTTTTAATCCGTGTAAAACTATTCATGAATTACAATCGTTATACACTGCGACCATTTCATATTTCATGATAAAGTGATAAATCATATAAAACAATGAATCAGCTATTGCTGTGAAATTCATAATATCCCATTTAAAGTCGTCTTTTGGTCTGGGGGTAGAGAAATTTCATCAGAACTTTTTTTTTTTAATTGTTTTTGGCGAGGGTGTCAAGTTAAAAATCCTAATGGTTCGATTTCTTTATCCTTATCTTACACTAATGTGCATGAAAAGTATTACTATCTCATCCCAATCACCAAAATAAGCACAGAAACTATAAAGAAACGTTTTGCCTTGGTATCGTTTTGAAAAATATCAATGTCTAACCTTATGTTTCTGGACAACAACAAACAATTCAAGAAGATTTAGCATACTCATTACGGTCAGGAATGTCCTTATCAGACATCAGAAAATTCCTTATCACATTCCCATTTTGAGGTCATGCACATGAAATGTGGAGTAAGATAGAAATTTCCCACATCCCTTTCTTGCTACGAGGGCCTTTTAATAAATGATATCACAACACAGCTCCCGTACAAATGGCCAAAATAGTTTAGCGTCTTAGAAAACTGCAAAGCATTAAAAGAACAATACATAATAAGAATTTCGACATCATCAAGTTATTCATTGACGCACTCGTGACTTGTGGCTCATTTTCAATAATGAAATGAAGGTTGATACTAAATCTGTAAAAAAACTTTACATGATACATGAAGAGATGTGCAGCATAAAAGTCACATCAAGAAATAGTAAAGTTGACACCAAAAAGAACGCACGGCCAGGCCGGCCAGTTGTTGCAGCATCAAAGAAAACCTTTACTGCTGTGAATGCAATTATTAAAGATGATGGTCGTTGAATCGCATTTCAGTAGGCAGTACACATCAGATTTTGACCAAGTGCTTGAATTGAATAAGCCCGATGGATCCCTCATTTGCTGACATCTGGACAAAGATCAAACGTTCGAATTGCTCTAAAAATATTAAAAAATACGGTAATAGCGACTCAAGAAAGCTATCTGAGGGAATGAGACCGTCGGTCTGTTACTTGAACCCCAGAGGCGTATTTACAACAAACAATCATTGTCCAGAAATCCAAAAAAGCTAGTGATTGCAAAACATATAAAAGCATCAGGAAAGTTTTGTATGGCATTTTTTTTGTTTTATTGGACTCGTGGCTCATACACCGTGCAAGAAAGGGAAAACTATCACTGCCAAGCTTTACAAAGGCAAAGTAATGAAGGATGTCAAATGATTCTACATGAAAAAACGTCCAAGTAAAAACGTGAATGTTTCATCTCACATAAGCTATTACCACGCAGCGTTCACGTCATGGATAACGCGATTGCAAAATTGCGTTTCTGCTGAGGGGGATACATCAATAGAATGTAAAAGAAAGATCAAACTTTATACATCATACATATGATTCCTGACACTAGTTACATAATTTATTGAATGACACTCATTAAATACAAGAACATGAATGAGATATTTTTTTTAATTTCCACAGGTATGTAACTCGACAGGTGTGTGCACATGGGATGAAACAGTACAGGTGCAGTACGTTGATGTACCTGCAGGTGTACCTATCAGGTACGTAAGAATTCAACAAAAGTTAGAAATTGGGCACTATTGATACATAATGAATGAGCATACCAGAACAATGTTTGTCTCACTCCTTATTTTATCATTTACCATTAATCCCTGATACGTTGTGAGAGTTATTGATATGCAATTATTTATACAAGAACGGAAACTCTTCTCTTTTCCTTTTGTTTCTTCTTTTTGACTCAGGGTCCTTGTTGATCCTTATCCTAATTCGTTGCAAAGGGTTATCAAGACTCATTATTTCCTTAATATTACTTTGCATTTCATTTTGTTTCAAATTTCAGAATATGTAAAAACGTGTCTGAAGCGGGAATATTTACATTGAGGAAAGTTCCTAAAGCATCGTTTGAGTCCTGCAGTATGCCTTTCATCGAAAATGTGACCGAACTTTTACAAACCGAAAATAACACAGATCGTGGATGCTCCGAGGATTTGACCCTAGACATTGGATCGCATTTCTTCATAGGTAACTTTATTTCTCTATAATATCTTTACCGTCTTGATAGAGATAAGACATTTGTTTCGCATTCCATTATTTTGTGTTGATTCTTCTTTCTATTTCCACTTCTTTCTTTGATGTTTTACATGTGTTCGCAGTGCTGAATATTTCGATAATAGGGGAGAGAAGGATTTCAAGGTTCCATGAACAGGCGTCCACCATGACTCAATATTCTAATTGATCCTTTAGGTGTGTATTCAGCAGTCACCACAATGCCCAGAAGTGTGCATTAGACCACTTAAGACCGTGGCGTTGTGAGTTGCCGCTGTGTGTATATCTTCATATAGATTTTTTTAACCAAATCTTTTCGTGTAAGATTTATTAGGGAAAAAATTGTGATTCTCAATACCGCGATAATGACTCCAGGCTGAAGTGTTAACGCAATACAAGGAAGACTCAAGTGTGGCCTTGAATACATATATAATGCCCACTGCACTTCTTATCTTAATATTTAAATGATCGAGTGGGTAATATGAAGTCAATATTTACACAGCTGATTGGCGTTCCTTTCCATCATAAATTGGCACCATGGTTGAACAAAATCCGGTCGAAATTAACGTTAAGCCTACATAAATGAAACTGTCATTGACTGTATTTCTCTTCTCAGAAAGATTGAATGTAGTAATAATTGCTAGTTTATAACGAAAAGGTGACCAAGTTTGGCGTGTGTTAAGGGAACAAATCAAAATGATTGTTAATGGATTTGCTATTACATTTCTATCGGTTTGTATTAGGCAAAGTAAACCAGAGCTCAGATACAAACCTCACGACCTACATTAAAAGCATAGTCAGTCATTTGAACACTCCATAGTAAGGTTAGCATGTAGATTGCTATATTAATGTTTGCAAAGCACATGAAAATTGACAGCACAAGGTCGAAGGCCATGGGGTTCTAGAAAAGGATTGGAATAAACTCAATCATAAAGTACGCTAGCAAAATAACAAGGAAAAAGTCAAATCAAATGTATATTCACATTGTTATTTCATGCACGTCTTCAAGTGAGGGTGTGTATTTCTTATATGATCCTTGACATCTTAACCAAACCACCTATATTTGGTCATATAAAAGATTTACATATGAACACCAAAAGCTGAGCTAAGTATTGTTGACAAGATATAGGAATTACTATGGCGACACCTGACATGCGCACTACGACTGCACGTCGTATACATTACGATGGATGATGGGTCATGTGTCGGTTAGAGTTATTATATCATAGTAAGGTTGCGATTAGTAATACGCCTATTACTGTTAGCTTAGGAAAACAGATTTGGTTATTTATTATAAATGCAAATACATCTAAAGCTACACGGCATCAAACCACGGTAACGTATTCTAGTGCATTTAATCAATACACATAGATCACTGAGGTTGAATAAAATATCGTTAACATTTACGTCTACCCATCCGACCAGAAGTTTGCTGACGGCAAATCCGTCTTCTGAAAGATTTGCTTTCAGAAAACACGCTTACCTCTCGAATACATTCATCAGCTTTTCGACCTGAATGAGGTAATGACTCTGTTACTAGTGATTCGTGAACGTCACACACACAGAAGTGATTGTAACTTTAAACTTTGATAAAAGATACAGTATGTCAAACTTGAATTACACTGTTTCGTCCCTATATGACTCATCGATGATGAAACATTTTCAAATCAAATTGGTCTTAAAACTACTCATGAAACAGTTTCGGAAGTGCGTAAACCCTTCAGAAGTTAAGAAATTAAAGTAACTGCGGGTTAATTGCAAACAAAATAATGAGTATAGCGTGAATAACATGACCCGTACTACTACTCAAAAGACAATCAAGGTACAGCAAATCTCGGGGACTGAGAAATCCGACACCAGAGTATAACACCTAGTCCATTGAACAATGAACGTAATAAACACAGAGGTGATTGGCATAATTAAAAGGTCAAAGGCACTTTTTTGTTAATTTCACGTATCTTATTTTATATATCAAAACATGAACTATATTGGGCGTTTTGTGTGTGTGTGTGTGTGAGTGTGGGGGGTTCGTAATGGAGGAGACGGAGATGAAGGTTGGGGGGAGTGACTTATTGCATTGCTTAGTTATCAAGTCACGTTCAGATCTAAAAATCTCATTACAATGCTTTTAGGTCGAAATTGTCATCGCTAGTTGATCTGGTAGATTTATTAGCTTGGAACTTATATCAAATGACAATTCCTTATTATTGATCGCTGACATGTGATGTCGTTACGTTTCCAGTTTCAGACATTGTGTTAGAGTTCTTATTAGAGACGTTGAAACAGATAACCTTGGTAATATACATAAGATTGTAGTATATCTGATACAAAGAATAAGTCTGTCACGATTATAAACCGATATACTATCCCTATGAAGGTGTTACTAGGTCGTATTATAGCTGACATGTTTATCATTATTTGTTGTTAGTGTTTTATATATGCTGGTAATGGGTTTGCAGTGGCCTTGTGGATAAGGCGTTTGGCCGTCTAAGATCACTAGTCCTCCACCACAGGGCTGCATTGGCGGAGATATTAAAGCGTCTGACCGTGAACGATCACTAGCCCTCCACCACTGGGCCGCGTTGGCGGAGATATGAAACCGTCTGACCGTCTAAGATCACTAGCCCTCCACCACTGGGCCGCGTTGGCGGAGATATTAAAGCGTCTGACCGTCTAAGATCACTAGCCCTCCAACACTGGGCCGCGTTGGCGGTGAGATTAAAGCGTCTGACCGTCTACAATCTAACCCTCCACCACTGGGCCGCGTTGGCGGAGATATTTAAACGTCTGAGCGTGTACGATCACTAGCCCTCCACCACTGGGCTGCGTTGGCGGAGATATTAAAGCGTCTGAACGTGTACGATCACTAGCCCTCCACCACTGGGCCGCGTTGGCGGAGATATTAAAGCGTCTGACCGTCTAGGATCACTAGCCCTCCACCACTGGGTTGCGTTGGCGGAGATATTAAAGCGTCTGAGCGTGTACGATCACTAGCCCTCCAACACCGGGCCGCGCTGGCGGTGATATTACATTCTGGTCGAACCACCAAGGAATTTTCTGAAAAGTTTATTTTTTTTGGCTGGTGTCAGTTTTACTGAACAATAGAAATGTATGTGTACAAACTAGTCAAACCATTATTATACAAAAAGATTGATATAAGATACCTAAAGAACACAAAAACAGCAGTATGACTCTGTTCTAAAGTCAAATATTTTAAACTTTCTTCAAAACTCATATGGCCATATAGCTTGGTACAGTATTTCTGGAATGAAAACCATATTGTTGTGGAAATATTAAGTAAAGAAAAATTAAGAAGAAATAATCAAATAAAGAATCATATCCAACACGAACCTAAAGGGAAGTTATTATATGTATAACAATAACAGTGGAATTATGTAGTATCTTGCAAGCAAAGGGGCAGTGATCCTTAAACTACTCTACCGTAGGACCGTTCACGACTTTACATAGATATAAATGTATATTAGAGGGTTGTGATTCCCGGGATAGCAGGTCCTAATGTTTTAACTCATCAGACCCATTTCTCCTTCACTTGAAGACACAATCAGCACAGGGCGCACATTGGTATTCTTATTATTTTATGTTCTGGAAACTTAATGCATACGAAAACACTGTTTCCTGTCGAAGTATTGATATGGTAATGTCTTTTCTAAAGGAAATCTTCAGTTCATCAATATTCAAAAGGAAATACATAACTCAAGTTTTGCTGATAAGGTAGAAATTCTTTTTAAATCACTGCAAAATAACAATACTATTGTCGAGAAATAGATTTGCGTACATGAACGATAACGTCACTAAACAAAAACCAGTTAGACAATATGCCTTCGACATGCTATTTGAAATGAAAAATGAAATCAGAGTGACAGTTATAATAGGAAATGCTGACTTCAGATTTACTTTGGATTTAACAAAATCTTCGAGCTAAAATGCAGAACTTCATAAAAATAAGTTGGAATCCAAAGATATGGTTGTTTCATTCGTTAGTTTGATATGTAGCCATATATATTATTAAGATAATATGGCAGATGAAATTAATAATAAAATTAAGTTTTTATACATGAATCGTATTTGATATCAACATTCTTAGCTTCAATTACAGCATGAATTTAATGGTCAAGAGAGTGTTCTTTCTTAGTCATGCTACCTGTCCTGACACAACAGTTCGAATCTTTATACATTTTATCGTTTGCAACGATTTTGAATTGACCCATAATCAATCGAAGTGAACAAGTGTTTTGCGTTTTTCAAGACGATGACTGTGTTTTAATGTGTATATATTATTTTTTTCACAACACATTTCTTAGTCAACTTGAGATATAAGAAATATTAAATTCTGTCCCTTCCAGCATACATGATTTTGCCTTCGTGTCTTGTGAACATTTTATGGTTTCTACTCTCACGTTTGCATAATTTGATTTCCGAATGTAGTTTTCGGTATCGAGGTTGGATTCCTTGTCCTCGTGTATTGGTTTTGTGTTGCTGTAGAAAGTATTATTGTTTTTAACGATAAAAGTCACTAGTAACATATCAGAAAGAAAATCAATAAAGAATGTTCTTCACTTCCCTTTCTGTTTCGCCGTTTTGGTCTTTAGCTTCACCAATAAGTCCTAAGATGATTAAACAACTGTGTGGCGGGATGAAATTTATATAGTTTTTACATACTTAAGCTACCAAGTTTTTGGGGTGCAAGCACGTGTCTTATGTTCATCTCTTTAAAGAAAGGTAACTATTCTAACGATAACGATGTGTGCAACCGATCAATATTGCCTTCTAAAACCATGTTCAATAGCATAGTACGCAGAATAACCCCATAATTCTACACAGCAGTCAACCTTAGCGACAAGGTGTAAGATACAGCCAAAACAATTCGTTCTCAAAACTTAGATACTGTATCAATACTTCAGGGGGTTTTGTTTTAAGTTAGTACCACTTCTACGCAACTACAACAACCTAGGCAT